AAAGAAAGAAAGAAAGAAAGAAAGAAAGAAAGAAAGAAAGAAAGAAAGAAAGAGAGAAAGGGAGGGAGGAAGAAACAACCACATTCTCACATCATACACAAAAATAAACTCAAAATGGATTAAAGACCTAAATGTGAGACCTGAAACTATAAAAATCCTAAAAGAGAGCACAGACAGTAATTTCTCAGATATCAGTTGTAGCAACATTTTTCTAGATATGTGTCCTCAGGCTAGTGGAACAAAAGCTAAAATAAACTATTAGGACTACCTCAAAATAAAAACCTCTGCGAAGCACAGGAAACAATCAACAGAAGTAAAAGACAACCTACTCAATGGGAGAAAATACTTGCAAATGACATATCTGATAAAGGGTTAGTCTCCAAAATATATAAAGAACTTATACAACTCAACAGTAAAAAAAAAAAAAAAAAAAAAAAAACCACAGATAATCTAATTTTTAAAAACCCAGGCATTTCTCCAAAGAAGACATAAAGATGGCCAACAGACATATGAAAAGATTCTCAACATCACTCATTATCAGGGAAATAAAAATCAAAACCACAATGAAATATCACCTCACACCTGTCAGAATGGCTAAAATAAAAAACACAAGAAACAACAAGCTGTTGGCAAGGATGTGGAGAAAAAGGAATCCTCATGCACCATTGGTGGGAATGTAAACTGGTGCAGTCACCGTGGAAAACAGTATGGAGGTTCCTTAAAAAATTAAAAATAGGGGGCGCCTGGGTGGCGCAGTCGGTTAAGCGTCCGACTTCAGCCAGGTCACGATCTTGAGGTCCGTGAGTTCGAGCCCCGCGTCAGGCTCTGGGCTGATGGCTCAGAGCCTGGAGCCTGTTTCCGATTCTCTGTCTCCCTCTCTCTCTGACCCTCCCCCGTTCATGCTCTGTCTCTCCCTGTCCCCAAAATAAATAAACGTTGAAAAAAAAAATTAAAAAAAAAAAATTAAAAATAGAATTACCACACAATTTCACTAGTGGATATTTACCCAAAGAATACAAAAACACTAATTCAAAAAGATATATGCACCACTATGTTTATTGCAGCAATATTTACAATAGCCAAATTATGGAAGGAGCCCAAGTGTCCATCAATAGATGAATGTATAAAAAATACCTGATATTAGGCACCTGTTGATGCTCAGTTGAACATCAAACTCTTGATTTTGGCTCAGGTCATGATCCCAGGGTTGTGGGATTGAGCCCCATGTCAGGCTCTGCGCTGATCTTGGAGCCTATTTGAGATTCTCTCTCTCTCTCTCTCTCTCTCTCTCTCTCTCTCTCTGCCCCTCTCCCCTGCTCTCTCTCTAATAAAAAAATTTTTAATAAAAAAAGATGTGATATATATATCTACACACACACAATGGAATATTACCCATCCATAAAAAAGAATGAAATCTTGTGATTAGCAACAATATGAATGGATATAGAGGGTAAAATGCTAAGTGAAATAAGTCAATCAGAGAAAGACAAATACCATATCATTTCAGTCATATGGGGAATTTAAGAAACAAAACAAACAAATTAAAAGAGAGACAAACTAAAATACTGACTCAAATATAGAGAACAAACTGATGGTTACCAGAGGGGAGGTGGGAGAAGAGATGGGTGAAATAGGTGATGGGGATTAAAGAGTACACTTATGATGAACACTGAAAAAATCTATAGAATTGTTGAATCACTACATTGTATACCTGAAACTAATAAAATACTGTATGTTAACTATCCTGGAATTAAAATTAAAATTTTTAAAAAATATAAAACACAATTCCTTAAAATTTTGTAACTGAACAGACCCTAAATATTTTAGTCCTTCTAAAAAAGGTAAGCTGGGGTGTATAACTAGTTGACATCAGAAATGAAGCTAAATTTCTATTTCACTCACTTTTTACTTGGCATACTCATTTTTACATTTCTATATTATTTCTATACTGGCTCTTTCTAAATACACATATTCACTGAACATGTCAGTCACCTCACTGTTTTGAGGATTTTTATAAAAGAGCAACAAGAAAACATTGAAAGGTTTTTAATGGAAAAATGGCATGACTCAATTTATGTTTCTAAAAGGTCTTTCCACTACATGGAGAATGGATTAGAAGTAAGCAAAGCAGACACCAAGAGACATGTAGTGTTGAAATGACAGCTAGGATTAGTGTAGGGCTCTATAAATGGAGAGAAGCAGACATATTTAAGATATATTTGAAGGTACATTACATAAGACTCAGTGATAAATCTGATGGGTGATATGTAAGAAAGAATGACTCTTGGTGTTAGCTTTTTAAGTTTATTTATTTTGAGAGAGAGAGAGAGAGAGAAAGAGAGAGAGAGAGAGAGAGAGAGATTGAGATCATTAGCAGGAGAGGGGTAGAGGGTGAGGGAGAGAGAATTCCAAGCAGGCTCCACACTGTCAGGGCAGAGCCAGATCTGGGGCTCGATGTCAGGAAACATGAGGATCATGACCTGAGGCAAAGTCAAGAGTCAGACACTTAACCCACTGAGCCACCCAGGTGCCCCATGTTTTTTATCAATTAGGAATATTTTTGTTTTGAGTTATGTTCTCCCTCTTGCATCTCTATTGTATTAATTCAGAGCATACCTTACTTGTCAGTTTTCCCCACACTTCACCAGACTGTCAGTACAGTTGATTTATCTTCATCAGTGCTACTGTGCCCCCTTCCTGGTAGATTATCACCCAACCCCCCGAAGGAATTGACAACATGGGTTTGAACTGCACTGGTCCACTTATATGTGTATTTTTTTTTTTTTTGATAAATACAGTACAGTACTATAAATGTATTTTCTCTTATGATTTTAATGACGTTTTCTTTTCTCTAGTACTTTAAGAATACAGTATAGATTACATGTAATATACAAAATATGTGTTAATCTACTGCTTATGTTATCAGTAAGGCTTCCAGTCAACAGTAGGCTATTAGTAGTTACTTACGGTGAAAGTCAAAAGTTATACTTGGGTTTTCATCTGCGTGGGGATTGGTTCCCCATGGTCCAAAGGTCAAAATCAAACCATCATTGAGCTGTACACCTTAAACTTATACAGTAATGTATATCAATTATTTCTTAATATACAGTGGTGTATATCAATTATTTCTTAATAAAACTGGGGTAAAAATAACTCTCTCAATTCAACAGTAAAAAGGCAAATACTCAAGTTTTAAAGTGGGGAAAAAAAGATTGAAAATACCTTCATTCTCCAAAGAAGGTATATGGATAGCCAGTAAGTACATGGAAAGATACTCAGCATCATTAGTTACGAGGGAAATGCAAATCAAAACCACAATGAGGTATCAGTTCACACCATTAAGATGACTATTATCAAGAAGACATGCAGTTACAAGTGTTGGTGAGGATGTGGAAAAATTGAAACTCTCACACATTGCCAGTGAGGATATAAAGTAATACTGCCACTATGGGAAACAGTTGGCAGTAACTCAAAATATTATACATAGAGTTACTATATAACCCAGCAATTTCTACATATGAAACTTATAAAAACTGATGTATAAAAAATATATGAATAGTGGAAACAACCCAAATGTCCATCAACTGATGAAAGGATAAACAAAATGTGCCCTATCCATACATTGGAATACTATTTGGCAATAAAAAAGAATAAAGTACTGACACACACAGTAAGGATGAACCTCAAAAACATTGTGTTAATGAAGAAAGTCAAGCAAAAGGCCACATATTATATGATTCCATTTATATAAAATGTCCAGAATAGGCAAACCTATAGAGATAAAAGTAGATTAGTGGTTTTCAGAAGCTGAGGGAAAATGTGAGGTGGGGGAGGGGAGTGATTATTAATGGGTTATAGGATTTATTCTTGGCATGATGAAATGTTCTAAAATTAGATTTTGTGATATTACACAATTTTTTAAGTACAATAAAAAACATTAAACTGTGTGTGCATTTTAAATGAGTGAACTCTAAGTGATATAAATTATATATCAATAAGATTTCTTAAAAGCATATTCACAGCAAAACTGTAACAAAAGAAAACTGAAAATAATCTAAATATCATCAACAATAGAACAAATAAAGAAACTTGAATATGCATGCCCTACAATATCCACAGAAGTAGAAATGAGTGAGCTCTGTAAGAGCATAGAGAAAAACCACAAAAACATATCACTGAATAGTAGGAGGAAGTTACAGAAGTACCAAGAATAATTCCATGTATGGAATTCAAATAGGTGAAACTAATCAAAGTAACACTTCTTTGACTCGATTATTCACTTAAAGGGAAAAAAAATCCATGTCATGGTTAACAATTTGTCTATATTATAAAAAACTTTAATTTTATTTATTTATTTGTTTGTTTGTTTTTAAGTAGGCTTCATGTCCAGCATGGAGCCCAACACAGGACTTAAACTCATGACTGAGATCAAGAGCTGAGCTGAGATCAAGATTTGGATGCTTAAGTGACTGAGCCACCAAGACACCCCAAGAAACTTTAATTTTTAAAGTTAAAGATCATTCTGCTGTGTAAAAAGCCTTCCTCTCTGAAAATAAGCCCTAGCAACGTCTTTATCTTCACTCTGTACTTTATTTTACCAAATTCTTATCCAATGAAAGTTAAAAAGAAAATAGCAATCTCTTGACACCAGAAACGTCAACATAGGTGGTAAAAACTAAACATTACAAAAACATCCCCTAAACATGGCAAACACAAGAGTCAGCCCGTATTCTATCCTACTGAGAGTGATAGCATGTTAACAGTACAAATGAGGGCAGGAGCTTCTATTCCAACTGGGCATGAAAGACTTCGCAGAGCTTCAGAGTATTTCAAGAACTTCTGCTTCAAATAGAAACAGGTTGTGAAATAGAGAACGTTTAAAAGCAAACTGTCTTTCTTTTGAGGCCATTTTCTCCTTTCACAATTCTCTGCTTACATATTTACAGTCTGATTAAATGAGAAATAAAACTACAGTGCTCCCACACTTACCAATTTTCCATGTGGTTTGCAAGATGATTTGGGTGGTATCATTTCTGAAAGAGAAGCGAGGGACAAGATCAATGGGTTTCTGGGTTCGACTAACAGGAGATTCTGATTCAGTGAGGCTTAAACATGTGAATATTTTGAAAGACACCACCAGAAATTTTAAGGAAACCACTGAATTATAGACTTCTTAAAGTCTATAAGTGGCAGGCCTGTGACAGTGCAAGTTTCACATTATAAAATATGATAACTGTGTGAAGCAACTAGCTAGTTAGCAACATCAGAATGGTACAAGGCTGGCCAAGTCATCAAATCACAGATCTTGGAACATAAGCAGAGTCTGCTCTATGATAAGCAGAATAGCTGTCTTATCTAGTCAGAAAAACTGAAATCACACTCCAGTAGGAAGGCCCAACATTTGTTGAACACAAAATCAGTAACCAGAATGCATTCCTTAAGTAATGTACATTCCTCAAGGTACTTACTCCCAGGGAAAATGAGAAATTACATGATAAGGAGTTCTCATTCTCCAGGTATGTGCTAATATTTTTCTTCTAGATAGGTGTAAATAATCTCTACATTGTGATTGGGTCTCAGTTTTTACCCAAAGATTTTTATGCCTTTTTGCAAAAATGGACATTAGGAAATAAGAGAAAATTGTTAAGATCCAGATTTCTCTATTTCTCTAACGTGGCAATGAAGCAGTAGCACAGTATGTAAAACAAAAAAACAAAACAACAACAACAACAAAAAACCAAACAGCTGGAACTAAAGCAGAAACAGCTAGAACTAACTGAATATTTTATCCATTTGTGGTTATTTAGATAATAGTCATCTCCTACAGACTTCACAGAAATTTTATAAGAAGTAATCTGATTTTTGTTAATGGTTTTCTCATAAAGTCCTCAAATTCCTTTCAAGGGTAGATTCTCTCCTGGGTTTTCCATGGATGCCACTTCCTACAGACATATGTTCATGAAGGGCCAGAGGAATTACCCAAATAGGATGGAAAGAGGCACAAACACAGTAGTCCAGGCATGTGACAGAGCTGAACCTTTTTTGGTATCTACCAGTTCCCATCCCCAGTGCCACCAGACCCCTCTCCAACAGAGCAGGCCTACTGCTCTGATCATACTTCCTCCAGGCTACACATCACAAAGAGGAGGTTTTCTCTCATCCCCTTATTTCTACCTGGGACTGATTCATTGGTTTAACTTCTCAACTTTCTTTGGAAAGGAAGTTACATAAATAAAAACTTTCTTCTTGTTAGGGCATGTTGACTAAAATAAAGTTATCTTTGACTCCCAATGTATTTTGAGAGGACAAATGCTAACAATTAAAACACTACATAGCAATATGCCTTTTGGATTTTATTCTTTCAAGAAGAGGAAGAATATGAGAATAAGAAAACATACAACTTGTTTAAAAAATGGCCAAAAACTTTAACAGATACCTCACCAAAGAAGATATATAAATGGCAAATAAGCTTACAAAGAAATGCTCCACATCATATATCATCAGGGGAAAAATAATTAAAGCAACAATGAGATACTACTATACACCTATTAGAATGGCCAAAATCTGGAACACTGACAACACCAAATGCTGGCAGGGATGTAGAGCAATAGGAACTCTCATTCATTGCTGGCGGGAATGAAAAAGGGTACAGCCACTTTGAAAGAAAGTTTGGCAATTTCTTACAAAATTAAACACACTTTTACCACAAGATCCAACAATTGTGCTTCTCGGTATTTACCCAAAGGAGTTGAAAACTTCTGTCCACATAAAAACCTACACATGGATATTTATTGAAGTTCTATTTATAATTGCCAAAAGTTGAAAGCAACCAAGATTTTTTTTAGCAGGTAAATGGAAACTATGGTACATACAGACAATGTAATATTATTCAGTGCTAGAAAGAAAAGAGCTATCCAACCATGCAAAGACATGGAGAAACCTTAAGTTCATATTTCTAAGGGTGATTTCATTCCGTGTGTGTGTGTGTGTGTGTGTTACTTTATTGTGGAAGAGAAATATGGAAGTATACCAATGGCATTCTGGTTTAGTGCAACAGTGATAACCTGATCTAAAATTACATCCACAATTTCACCTCCCATTTTTTTTCCTTCTTTCTTCCTCTCTTATCTCTTCCCCTATTCTTCTCTACAGTGTAGTCTTCTTTCCTAAATCTATGATGCTTTTTGGGTCATTCAGCAGTTTTCATAATTCTCCTTGAAGATTTTGGTCCTTGGAGCACATATATTCTTTCAGTTCCAGTTAATAAATATACCTTCATAACCTTCTTGGCTTAATAATATGAGAAACAATATAATATGAGAATAATCTAACTGGAAATTAAGCATCATTAAAGAATGGAAGGACAAATAAACCATGAAAAGTATTTATATGTCCAGTTTAAAATCCTTGCTCAAATGATCAACTGCTGAAATAAGGATAAAGTAATTAACTTTATAAATTCAGCTAGCAAGACATATTTCTCCAAAAAGAATGAAAAGAGGAGCACCTGGGTGGCTCAGTCATTTGAGTGTCTAGCTCTTGATTTCAGCTCAGGTCATGATCTCAGGTCGTGGGATCTAGCCCACGTGATGGGATTCTGCTTGAGATTCTCTCTCTCTCCCTCCATGCCCCCACCCCAAACAAAACAAACAAAAAACAAAAGAATAAAAAGAAAATGGAAAATTGGCCTTTACATTTTAAAAACACATTTTTCTTTCAAAATCGAATAAGGGAAAACTCTTATATTTTTGATGAGCTAATTTTGTTAAAACAAATATAATTAGGCCATGCTTTGAAAAATTTTAAGTGATAACCTTCTATGTATACAGAAATGAACCCCACTCCCAACAAGAATTAATTTTTGCCCTCTTAAAAAGTCTTTTTCCTTTTGTCTTTAAAATCTCTTTAATCAGCAACTGAGTGAGAAGAAGTAAAACGTAATAATAGAGTAGATGATGAACCTGAAGAGTGGGGGAGCACCCAGAAAACCAATAAATATTCATTGGAAGGCACTGCAGACCAGCTTAAGAACAGAAGCTGAAACTGGCAGTTTCTAAAGCTAAAAACAGGTGAGAGGATGAAGTATCTAGTAAACTTTGAAGAGACCCAAGTAGTCTATGAACTTCCAGAAGTGATCAGCTGGGGCTCTCTTCCAAGACAGAGACCACACAGGGAGGAGATCAAGTTAAGCAGGATAGTGACAACTGAGACAAAGGAGGAGAAAAAGCTTATGGGAAGAAACCAGGAAACCTCAGGGAGGAAGTCACCATATTACTTAATACTACCTAAAAACAACAGAAAAAGAAACTAGAAGCTAGAAATATTTCCTGAGTCATCTCCTTCTAAAAGTTGAGAAAAACTGGTTTCTCCTAAAATTTGGAAAGATGAGGATTGAGGTCAAATCTTATACCTTATGAAAAGGAAAAAAGAGAATAAAGGAGCAGAAAAACAGTACCAGTAATGAAAGCATGCCAAAAGGATGTGCCCATATATCAGACCAAAACTACTTCAAAATGAGCAAATAGACATTAAGAAATGGTATAAGACATGAAAAAACAATATCAGAATCATAAAAAAAAACCCTCAGAAATAAAGTGACAGGGCTCATACAAGAAATAAAAATAAGTTTTAAAAAACCATTTCAGTAATGAGGAATAAACAGAAGGAGCAAAAACCATTTCAGTAATGAGGAACACAGGAGGAGCAAAAAAGCAAATAAACATAATACATAATGCCTGAACAGAATTATAAGGTGAAAAGAAATATGTTAAAAATTAGAAAGGAATGGAAGACATAAATCAAAAAGGAACAGACAAAGTTAAAAAGGATTTAAGAGACAGTGACAAATACTAAACATAAACAAAGAGACCCAATACTGATAACAGGAGCCTCTGAAAAAAAGAATACCTAAGCAAGGTTTGAGAACATTTGCCAAAAATTGAAAACTCAATAAAACTTCCCTTAGACTCTCTGAAACTACATATCGAGATTCATAATTATCAATACCAAGACATATGCTAGCAAAATGGTTGGACTTTGAAGAAAAAGAGAAATGCCCTTCGAGCACTTTTTAAAAACTGAGCAAGGGACTTATAAAGAAAAGGAAACTAGATATTCATCAAATTAATTGTCTTTTGGCACTGTTTTATGCTACAAAGAAAATGCTGTTAACATATATAGTTAAGACATTCTAGGGGCGCCTGGGTGGTGCAGTCGGTTGAGCGGCCGGCTTCAGCCAGGTCACGATCTCGCGGTCCGTGAGTTCGAGCCCCGCGTCAGGCTCTGGGCTGATGGCTCAGAGCCTGGAGCCTGTTTCTGATTCTGTGTCTCCCTCTCTCTCTGCCCCTCCCCCGTTCATGCTCTGTCTCTCTCTGTCCCCCAAAAAATAAATAAACATTGAAGAAAAAAAAAGACATTCTAAGAAAGAAAATGGAAGCCAAGGATTTTACCCAGCCCAAACTGACTTTCAAATATAAAGAACAATTGATATCAATGTGCAAAAAGTTAGCGACTGTGTTCCCATGAGCCCTCCTGAGGATCCACTAGAGAACAAGCTTCAAACAACCTGTATAGCCAGAGAAAGATTACCATAAGACACTAAATAAATTTTATTTAAGCATTAAATAGTTTCATGTAGAACTACAACTAAATGACGATTAAAAGGAGAGAGTATTCTACCTGATGACTCTAAGCTCAGACGACACAGATAGTAGAATCATTTTAAAAGGAGGGAAGGGAGAGAGAGAGAAAGAAGAGCATATGCAGAGCACATTTTTAACCGTTTGGAGTAATCATTGTTGGTAATAGCATTAGCACTGCTATTATGAATGTGTTGTGGTACAATGTGGAATAAAGCAAGGAGATAATTACAGGATGTTCAGCTTGGAAGAAAGGAGATGAAGGCATAGTAGAAAAGAAGCTAAGTTAAAAACCCAGTAATACTGAGGTATCCATAGTGCTCAGCTTGTGGTCTTGAAAGATCATTTCCACTAAAATAAACCAGGGATTTTTAGAGCAGGCCCTCAATAGGGTG